AAGAGATTGAAAATGATAGTCAAAAATTACAACTCTGGCCACTTCTGGAGAGCATCAGGAAATCAACTTAATCTGAAAACTGGTAAATGAAGGAAATCTAACATTTATCTACCTTTTCTGTATTGTACTGTACAATAAGAAAAGAGATGACAAGAGAAAACTGCTCATTATAGGAGAAATAAAAGTGTTATATAAGTAAGAAATGATAAAATTCAAATAACACTATTTTATAACCCCGATAAAATAATGGATCTAAGCAATAATCATCAATGGCTGCTGTTAAGTAAAAAGCTCTTAGGAAACTTTATAATGGATGGTTCACACTGACAATCTTTAAACCTAGTGATGAATATTATCAGCACAGAGAAACTCACACATTATATGCTTTGTGATATAATGCCATAAGATACACAATCATCTATTTGAGAGAAAATATTCTCTCAAAAAAAAAAATTAAACTCAAATTTGGGTAGGACTCTGGATTTAACTACCAACTTATAAGAAACAGAAGGGATATAACAAAATACAGTATAGGGGCTGGGGATTTAGCTCAGCAGCAAAAGCGCCTGCCTGGCAAGAGCAAGGTTGTGAGTTCGGTTCCCGGTACCGGAGAAAAACAAAAAAAAACAAAAAACAAAATACAGTATACATATTGAAACACAGTATTTTGTACAATCAATAGGTTCTAATAAGTTAAAATTTAAAACACATCAAAAAGCAATATGAGGGATCTGTGTGATAATGGAATTATTTTATATGTTAATTACACTGATGTCAATATCTTGGTAATATCTCAATATTACACTATAGTATTCTAAGATTTTATTATTTGGGAAAAAATAGGTAAAGGGCACACTGGAACTCCTTGTATTATTTTGACAACTACATGTTAATCTATAATTAACCCAAATAAAAATTCTAATTTATAAAAAAAAGAAAAAAAGAAACAGAAGGGACAGAGGAACATGTTAAAGGATACCACAGTGATACAATCAACAAAAACCAAAATATAAAATATTCTGCAACACAAAAAGCCTACTGCATTTAACAAATAAATTATTCAAAGAGAAATAAAGGAGGGAGAGAACTAACTATAAATTTAAAGTGACTTAAAAATCCACTGATTAAATATGTGGACCTTGTTTTGATCATGATTCAAGTAAATCAACTATTTATTTTAAAAAATCTTTATGAGACAAAGGGAAAAAAGTTAACACTAACAGGATAGTTACTTATACTGTACTAATGAATTACTAATACTAATTGAATAGTTAATTACAGTGTATTAATGAATTACTAATACTAATTGGATAGTTAATTATACTGTACTAATAAATTACTAATTATATGTATGGTAATGATACTGTGGTAATACTAAAACAACAAAAATGCATCTCCTTCTTTTAAAGATACATACATACATAGACATATATGTTTATAAATAAAATTTATATGAGGCACATGATCTGCTTCAAAATAGTCTGGCAAAGATGCAGGGAGCACTGGAATAAATGACATAAAACGGGCCAAGTAATAAATGTTGAAACTAGGTAACTGATGCACAAAGGTTCATTATACTATTCTATTTATTTAAGATGAAATACAATTATTATGTAATTGTTGACAAAGAAAAATTTATTAGAAGCACATAATTCCACAGATTTACTACTAATAATTGACAAATGTGAGTATGAATAACAAGCATATATTTAATGAGCTATGGGGGGGGTAATTACCTCACATACTTTTATATCCTGATTCATAGATTTCCAATATTACAAAATCAGAAATCCAATTAAGAAATATTATCTATTTGCTTTCTCCTTTTCACACAAACATTGATTTTTATGTTGTTTAGCAATTTTTGGTTTTCTTCTGCTTTAGTACGATGTACAATAAAAATTGTTACAAAAACATTTTAGCCACCTCCTTTTTATTGAACTTTTTACTGGAATAAATAAGCATTTGTTTAAAAGAAATATGAGCAAAGTTAAAATAATTAAAAACAAAGGCTCAAGAACCTTCCATGTAATCATGGGTTGTAAAACCAAAATGACATCCTATAAAAACATAAACAAAAGATTACTAAGTTTAAAATTAGTACACTTTCCTAGCCCAATACATAGTATTCATTTCCTACAAATTAGAAACTAAGAGAAAAGGAAATATACATAGACATATTTTAATCCTTACTCTGAAATCCTAAATTTTAAAAATTAAACTTTTATATGTATCCATACCTACTTATATACATATAAAAGTCTAAAAGACAAACATTAGAAAATATAACTATATGTATACCAGTCCTTTATCAGTTTTTATGAATTTATACAAATATACATGTGTGTACATGTGCATATGCATATCTTTTTTTCCTTAGGAGAATGTATTACTATGTTGCCCAAACTGGTCCCAAACTCCTGGGCTCAAACTATATGCCAGCCTAGCCTCCCAAGTAGCTGGGACTATAGACACATCCCACCATGTCCAGCTCTGAATTAATATGTTTGAATAGTGTGTGTGTGTGTGTGTGTGTGTGTGTGTGTGTGTGTGTGTGCGCACGCGCGCGCGCGTGCATGTTTTTGTTGGGAATCAAAGCCAGGGCCTTGAGCAAGTGCTCTACTGAGCTATTCCCCCAGCCAAAAATATCTTTTAATGTGTTAAAATAATAAAACTTTCTTGACTAATGTTTTATTACAACTGAGCAATGAATGATTAAAGATGTATATAGTATTAAAAAATTAACAAGTATTACTTATAGAATGAGCCACTCCACTTCATGAACAAGGAAGAGACCAGTCACCAGTTTCTAGGTCAGAATATAGAAGAATTACTCTACTCTACCTCAAGAAACACTTCAGATACTAGAAAAGAATAAAATACTGTTTCATAGAAATACAATTTTGATCATATCACTCAAGTCCCCATGGAGAACTTTCAAGTTAAAAAAAATCATAAAGAAATGAAATACATTAGTCACTTATAAAGTTCATATTTAGAGAGAGGACTAAACACATAGCATTTCTTAGAGAAGAACCATGTCAGTTGTTAATGCATATTTTCTAATTTGGAGATCATACTTTTGTGTTATCTCTGAAAACACCCTATTTCAAGTTTTCTCATGCAGTTCCATCCTACCCTGTAACTTACTGAATCTTCACACAGTAGCAGCAAATAGGCCAAGCTTCTGTGTGGAGATGAGCAGGTTCAATATCCAGCAAAGCAGCCTTGGTGTCAACTACCGCTTTGTCAATTGGTCTGGCAGGAGCAGGACTCTACTTCTACCTCAAGGGACAAAATTTGCTAAAAAGAACATCATGTACTTCATCCTTAGAAGACTGGCTAAACTGGCAACTAAGAAAACTAATGACATGAATGGGGCATAGAAAGAGGGAGATTCACTAGCCATAAATAAAGTAGCACTTAAGTATTCAATACCATTTGCTTATAAACAAAAGAAGAGAACAGATTCAAATATAAAGGGGAACAACATCCTATGCCAACCAGGGCCAAAACCTTGTACTCTTTCCATTATGAGGCACTTTTTTCTCTTGCAATAATACCTTAATTAGACCATTATTAAAAGAGGTTGCATTGACTGGAGACACTAGGCAGGCAGGTGACACGTAAATATCCCAACTAGCTTGTCCAGGATGTGAAGGCAATCTGCCTGCGATATCTGTTACCCCATTGATCACCACGGTTATTCAGCTTATCTGGCTGGCTAGGTGGGTTCCCCTTCCTCTCTCAATGCTCCAAGTGCATCCCTCCCAAAGCTGCACGCTTGGTGGAAGAGAACGACCACCCAGGATAGAGGAGGACCATTCCTCAGTCAAGGGTATATGAGTAGCTGAGCTCCCCTGCTAGAACCTCCAAACAAGCTCTTCAGGTCCAATTAGCTTGTCCAATGATCTCATGGAATTTGGGGGGTTAGCTTGTCCACTGATCTCACAGAATTTGGGGTGAAGCCACTCTCCCATTTGCCCAAGGTATACATGTTACCAGGCAGCATGAGGTTTAAAAAACCCCATATCTTTGCACTCCCAATTAATTGCTTCACATTTCTAAAAAAAAAAAACTAAACCCGATCTAAAGCCCAAATCTAAATGTGTTCTCTTTTCAAGCACCAAAGCCTAATTTGGCTATTGTTCTGCACAAATTGTGTTCATAAGAATTCCATGCTTGTTACACATATTCTAGGCCCAAAGTACTCTATACCCTGAATAGTTCCACTAATCTAAGATTGCAAGCTGAGAAACTAATGTGTTCCAAGTCCATTTCATAAAGTAATATTTCTTCTCAACTTTTAAGTACCCTAAAAAAATACCCTGTCTGTCTAAACTTCACATCCAGATTATTAATAATGAGTATTAATTCTGAGGTAAGTATTATATATCCATTAAGTATACTAGACTGTATTTAGAAACTTTTTTCATGTACCTTTTTAATCCTTAAAATTTCATTTTTATTCTAATTATCTAGACTCTCATCAAACCATAAAGAGTTTAAGAGAATTTTGTTATAATTTTACATGTACACATAATACCCCATCATAAAAAATGTTTCTAAAATGTCAAATACTATTTGATTTCTCTCTATTCCTCCTAATACACTCTCTTTTAACTACATGCAATCATTAAAATAAAGAACTCTAGTAAAAACAAAACTAATCAAAGCAAACTTGCAATGTCATACCATCAAAGTACCAAATTCTTAGTAACATTTGCTCCAAAAACTTTTGCACAACAGTTCCTTTTGAAACTAAAAAAGTATCATATTACAAACATGGTATATTTGAGAACACAAAGTATGTTAATATACATTCCTAAGCTTCAAAAGCACATGACAGGCTACACAGAAAAAACCTGAATGATAATCAAGCAATAATTTCAAATTAAACAATAACAAAAATGTCATCTTTTACATGAATGTCATTTATTTATTTCTGTCAACAAATGTTTTGTAGGGTTCATAAATAAGTGAGAACTATAAAAACTTACCATCATTTTGGTTCTTGCCCTTCATCTCCTCCTTCCAGGATAGAATGGTGGTCAGGGCAACATAGTCTCTTACGTATTCTTTGCGCCTCTCCTCTAAGGTCATCTTCAGTAAACGTTCTTGCAAAATAAAAGCAGAATCTTCATTTGTATTTGACTTTTAAACTTAGGAATTATTTTGCACTTTAAATATTAATAATGGTAAGCTACGCAAAGGTTTGGTACAATTTTGAGAAACACCAAAATACAAATTGAATGCTTTCATATTTGAGTATTAAAAGGTGTCCAATCAATTCCATACTAGCTACAAAAATAAAATCAAAGCCTAATAATAAAGACACTCTGTGAGAGTCCAAGAAATAATTCATTTACTCTTTCAGTCAATATTTGCTGACAACCTACTACTATATGCCATGTGACATGTTTTGTTTTTTTTTTTTTGGTTTTTCTCCGGTACCAGGAACCGAACTCACGATCTTGCGCTTGCCAGGCAGGCGCTTTTGCCGCTGAGCTAAATCCCCAGCCCCCATGTGACATGTTTATAGGTCACAGATACAAAGGCCACTTTGACTTACCCAGAGTTCACAGGACAAAAGAGGAAATGGATAAGATACAAAATAATACTGATGCAAATAAAATGTAAAATGCTAAGACACACATTATACATATCAGGAAAGCACAGGAAAGGCAGCCACCAAGGTATTTCCTTACTTCAACAAGACCATCAACAAACTGAAGTACATTTTCAATAGAGTAATAGGTTTGTAGAGGTGATATCTGATTATAAGATTAAAATAAGAATTGCATGTTAGAATTAGTAACAGTGAGTGTCATTTACAAAGAACTCATTGTTTGCCAGTACTTCACATGTATTATATCACTGAAATAATAATAACTCAAAGTTGATAGAATATCTCTACTTTGTACACAGACAAATAAAGCACACCAAAATTCAGGGGTTTGCCAAAAACTATGAACTTTCAAATAAGGCAAGATTAAAATACAGACATATATATCTATTAATCACACAGTACAGTCTATGCTATTAACACTATCCTATATTCTCAGGAACAGCTCCCAAGAAAGGTGATAAAAAATGGACTCACAAAAGACAGAATTTTTCATGAACAGGTTAAAAAGAATATTTCAACTAACAGAACAATGTTAACAATAATAACGAGATGCAAATAGTTTAATGAAACTATGAGATATGATATTAGGAGAGGATAGTGACAGAAGTGAAAAATAGGTGAAAAAAAGGTAGAAGAAAACTGTATGGGCACAGTGATGGGAAACCTTTCAGAGCTTTCATTGATAGAGCCAGCTGCAGCACACATGCCGAAGTTCACCATCTCTGATATAGGGACTTCTATGCCATGCTCAGCAATTTAACCTTTACTTCACGAACTCCACTACTAATACTCAAACTTGATTATGTATAGCCCTGTCAGTACATAAAATTATACACTAGGATGCAGATAAAAATGTAATAAGTTCTATTTATTTTTTAACCTAAAAAACAAGGAAGAACTGAAGACTCACTAATATTCAATATATAAACTGTCCCTGGCATGTTCACTCGGTTTATGTCGGTTGTCATGTATCACTTTTCTAGGGGTGTCCACAATGTACAGATTGACAATCACATTCTTATACTCTCCAATGCTCTTTCAATGTATTACAAGATATGTAGCTCACATGCATGGATGTAAACATATTCAAGTCACATTTCTCAAGGGTTAACAAACTGAATTTACCTATGAGACATTCAAGAAGTTGAGATCAAGAATCTAGAACACAGGAGAAAAGTCTAGCCTAAATATTTTGGAAATTATAACCTAAACTTCTGGTCCTAGAAAAAGAAAAGGGGGGTGAACTGAAATTTAAAAAATATAAATAGGTAGGAAGCACAAATAGGACAACAATGAAATAGAACCTGATTGTCAATGCAGTTAAAGGTCCCTGCAATGTGGAAGACAGTGGGGAAAAGTTTTAACATGTACAAGGAAGGAATTACTGTCAACTGCTACAGCAAGATCAGGAACAATAAAAATGATACTATAAAAGTCATGACTTTTATCAACCAGGTTGCCAATAGCACTGAAAAGAAAAAAAATCAATTAACAGAGCTCTTTGGGTTCTAATCTAAATCACTGTGTCATCTCTATGTTTCAGGTTTTTTTCTGATATAAGTAGGTAGGTTTTATTCCCAACTTACAGATGAAGCAAAGTAGTTACCTAAGGTCCCACAGCTAGTAAGCAGTATAGCTAGGATTCACAGCCAGGCAACTGTGTTCAAAGCTCTCAACTTTACAGTACACAATTACCTCACACACTTTCTTATCTCACAGAACTGTCTGTGAGAACCACATGAGATAATCCATGTAAGGCACTAATAGTGCTGAGTGCATAAATTGACTTAAATATAACCATTCTTATATTAGTACAACCATCACTGTTAATACTAAATGACTTTAGGAACCTTAGTTTCATTAGGACATAAATGAAATCCAGGAAACTCTAAGGAGCTGTTATGGTTTAAATATGAAATGTTCCCCAATGATTGATGTATCAGAGACTTGACCCCAATGAAGCAATGCTCAAACATGGGGCCTAGAGCAGTGACTGTATCAGGCGTGTGCTAACTTCATCAATGAGTAAATCACTGGTGAGTTCTTAACTGAATGGGCTTTTAGGAAGTGAAGCCTAGTTGAAGGAAGCAGGTCATGGGGAGTGGTGCCTTAGAAAGGCATCTATTGTGCCTGGCCCCTTCCTCTCCCTCACACCCCTCCTCTCTCTGCCTCCTGTCAGGCATAAGGTGAGCCACTCTGGTCCACTACATGCTCTCTGCCACAATATTCTGCACCACAGACCCACAACAATGAATCTAGCCAACTATGGACTGAAACCTTTGAAATTACGACCCAAAATTAACCTTTCAACTTATTATTCACAGGTATTTTGTCATGGCAACAAAAAGCTCACACAAGGACTTTGCAAAAGAAAGAGCAGCTGAAAAACTACTTTAAAAGAGAAGACACTTGAATGTATTATAGACAGTAGAGAGGATCCCAAAGACACTGGGAAATTAAACATACTGAGAAATGAATAAATGATGATACAAGATCTCAAATACAAGAAATGGGATAAAGAGAATAAGCAAAGGGGTTAATCTTAGAAACAAACAAGAAAAGAGCTTTTTTCTAAGACAGGAACAAAATCTAAAGAACATAAAAGAAACAAACCACTGAGACCATGGAGAAGTACATTAAGGCTGTTCCTATCATGTCATTTACTTTCTTTGTAAATTGAACAGGCAATATCATCTATTTATAATAGGGAAAGAGAGAACTGGTGGAATAGGAAGCTTGTAGGGAATTGTAAATTTGGAATTATTACATGAAAGTGAAAAAAAAGATTAGTATCAGTTTCTAAAGCACTACTTTAAAAGTTCAAATCACTGATAAGGAATTATTACAAGTAGTGCTCCAGTTAAAAGACACTAAGCAAGTTTAAAAGTGTTTATAAATATCAGATAGTATGTACTGAAAAGAATCCTGACTTCTGTCATTTGTTTAAAATTTTAAGCGTAAAGATAGAACGAAAGTGAAATCAATTATAAAAAACTAAAATCAGTAAGTAGCAATATTTTTCAATACACATTAAGTGGCTCTGAATTAGGGCTGAATTTAACATATGTGATCTTGATAACTCGATTACAATATTTGTTTGAACAATGAAATACTAAAGACCACAGACATATGCAGTTTTTTCAGCATTACATAAAATTTTTCTTTAAAAAATGCTTCATCTTTCTAATGAATCCTTTCTCTGTCAACCAAGCATATAAGCAAGCAGATCTCCTTAACAGATAGTATACTGAGTTAAAATGTGTTTCTAGAAAGTTTTGACATTTCAATGATGTAGGTAAACCTTCCTTTAGATTTAGATAGTAGCTGTAAAAATACTATGCCATCAACTCTCCAGTGGGAGAAAAGGAAAAGGTCATGTCTCCCATCAGTTTCTCTTTTGTACTAGAAAATCTCTGCTCGTTTTTAGTGGAATAACATGTGATAAATCTTCCAAAAGTGAATGTCCCAATAAAACAGTGGGACATAAAGTCATCAAATCATACCTTTCCCTTTAACTTTAAACTTCATGCAAAAGGAGCTTAATTTTGAATAGGAAAATTACTTTAACTGCCTTCTTTGTATATTTGCTTTTGTGTTTAAAAATATTAATTTGGGCCAGGGATTTAGCTCAGCGGCACATTGCTTGCCTGGCAAGCGTAAGGTCCCAAGTTCAATTCCTGGTATCAAAATAAATAAATAAATAAAAATAAAAATTAATTTGGATATTTTTCCTTTAGATGAAGCAAAAGGAAAAAAGACATTAAAAGATTCTGAAATGCCTGCTTACCACAATCCTCTGTGATATAAAAAAAAATCAAACTACTGTTACTTTAGGAACACTTTTTCTAATATAACAAGTCTTAAGTACTCACTATAATTTCATCAGTGATTCATGTTATTGAAAACAATGTCTATGTCTACTGTTTTCCTTCATTATCATCAATAATACAAAGCTAACATCTCAAAACCATCAATAAAAATGGGCATAAATGATTTTTCAATGCTCACAAAGTAAATCTTTGTAGAAAGTATGCTGAAATTAAAGTAACTGCTACTGCAAAAGTGAAGCAGAACTACTTTACACTACTTTATGTATCAGGCTCTTAGTCTCAACAGTATTTGTTTTGTGACAGTAGAATTTTTAGGTCTCTATATGCTCATAACCATTAAAACAAATGAGAAAAATTAATCATTCAAAAATTTAAAAGCCACTTGATGCTTTTCAGTTATATCACATTAAATCTTCCTATAATTAATTGAGAAAAAAAATCCCTCTTTGCCCCTTTCTCATGCACTGTTGGAAGTAGGTCCTATAGAGTGAGGATTCTTCTTTTCATTCCTTTTCTTAACGCCACTGTTGAGCTCTCATGTTCATAAAGGCCAAGGTTTCCAATAAAAATATACAGATTTTAAACAGCCATTATCAGGAAAATCAGTTTCAACCTAGTCACCCTTCTATCCTCTACCAAAGATGAGATATTCAGGAGAAAGTTCTACTACCTTTACTGGACCTCACTCACCCTTGACATATTAGTGTATATAAAGCGTGTCTTGCCAGGAGCAATGCAACAAGTACTTTTTCCTACATTTATGTAAAAAGAGGTAAAGAATGGAAGAAAAAGATGTCAAAAAGAAAGAGGAAAAATGTCAGACTCGAGTTTTACATCAGAATATTACCAATGATTACTGAAAAAGAGTGACTGAGGGAGAGGGTTGAATCACACAGCTGTTTGTTGGAGGAATCAATGCCACTGTAATCTAACTGATTTGGCTAAGCCTTGCTATGCATAACATCCAGGGGTGGGTTCATTCACAGTGACACGCAATCTTACTCTGGGCAACTTCAGATTATGAATGGGAATGCAATACTGAGAAAGACACTGCCGAGAGGAAAGCCCATTCACTCTTCTCCGCAGGCACTTATGCTCGCGGACAAGATGCTCGCTTTAGGTTTCCCTAGAGTTCCAGACGTCAAAAGTCACCCAGCCTCCGAGGACCAGGGGGACCGGCACCCGGAGGAAGGGAGAAACGCGGGACGGCCGGGCACCCCTGGCCAGGCTGGAACGCAGGAGGGCAAAGGAGGGCAGGGACTCCGGACACCGTGCGCCTGCCAGCGCGGGACGCCCAGCCGCGGTCCCGAGGAACTTGCCCGGGCCACCTGGGGGAAGGTGACCGGGTGCGGCAGGAGGCGGAGGGGCCGCGGGGCGGCAGGTGTGGGGCGCGCGTGCCCGCCGGCGTGCGCGCGTGTGCCCGAGTAACACACGGACACCGGAGGCGGCGGCACCGGCCGGAGGGACCCCCCGCCCCCACCCACTGGCGCCCGCCCGCCCCCCGGAGCCCCGGGACCCGACGGGCCGGTTACCTTTCTCCTCTCTCCACACCTTTTTCTTCTTGTTGCTGGGGTACATGTTGCCGTGGGGGTGGCCGGCTTTAAACTGCAAGTTCCCCAGGCTCACGGGCAAACAGGGTGTGTGTGGAGTGGGAGGGCTCGGAGGGGGGCACTCGGGAGGGAAAAAGTGAAAGAGGCTCTGCGTCCCGCGCCGCTCGCCGGTCTCCAGTCACCGCCCTCCTCCCACAGCCAGCACTCGGCTTCGGCTCCGACCCGCCTCAGCCCGACGGCCGCCGCCACAGCAGCTCCTCAGAGCCTGTCAACTAGGTCACGCCTCGCGCTAACCTAACACCCGCGCAGGCCCCGCCTCCCAGCCGCTAGGCAGCGCCGCCTCTCATTGGCTGCACCGCCCGCCGCTCTCCGCTTTCCAGCCAAGGCGCGCCTCGACTTTGGCCTCAGGGCGCACGCGCAGACGCAGGCTCGGGCCCGACGCCGAGGACGTTGGGGAGCTGGAGGGGGCGGATCCAGGGCGCCAGGGGCTGGAGATAGCCTCGCAACGGGGGCGTCGGCTGAAGGGGTGTGGAGGTGGGCGGTGCTTCCAGCCGGCCTCTCTGCCGTACGGGCCCGCCGGGTGCTTTGGGAGCCGGTGAAAGCGTCTCTGGAACCCGAAGTGGGAGGAGACCCGGCGTCCAAAACGAATTGCCCAAGCTTCTCAGACTGCCCTGTCCCAACGGATTTTGCAAGATAATCCGAAGCTTTCCTCCTGGTGGGCAATCGGACAAAAAGTGAAAGGATTGGAAAACCACGGCCGACCTTCCGCCGTTGGCCAGTCTACTGCCTAGTAAAATTACAGAGTTGAGTGAAATTCAGTGAAGTTTGGAAAGGGCGAAGGTAGACTGGCCTACTCGAGTGTTTCAAGAACTGGGAAGTTGTAGGCAACCAAAATGCTACACTGGCAACAAGTCTTTTACGGAAGCGAATTCAAGTGCTAAAGAGAGCCTGGTTGTCTCATTGCTGTATCAATGGTTTCGGGTTAAGGCACCTACCTTTCCAAAGGGCGGCTTGATTTTGAGTAGTAGTAATCTGCCAGGTTCGAAAATTTGTAGAGCAAGGAAGTCCACCCCAGGCTAGATGACCTAGAGTTGGGAGGAAATTTGGTCCCCCGCTGTCTCCCAAGCGTTTCTAAGAATCCGACAATTCATTAGGCTGATTTGGTGGAAGTGGTCAATTCAGGTTTATTTGGCAATTTGGGGGTCTGGGCAAATAATTAATTGGAACATTTTTAAAATAATAATAAAATGAAGGAGCGAAGCCTCTTTAAGAATTATAAACCATGGAATTTTTGAGTAATGAGACACTCAAAACATGACATAAAGTAATAATTGACATATTCCCTGCTTTTTAATACTATGAAATATATAAAAATTTATTTGCTGAGAGAAATTAGCAAGACTTCAAAAAAGGAAGTGACATTTGAGATAGTAATAAAAATACACATTCTTCTATTAACAATGGAACTAGAAAGAAGGCTTTAATTCAAACATCAGTAAAAATTGGTAATAGAACAGATTTAGGGAATAAGATGAGGGAAAAAAGATGATGTTTCATTAAAGGGTTAGGGAGAGAGTAACAATATTAATAATACGCAAATACAACGGTTTGAATATGGGTAGTGATCCCCAGAGGTCCAAGTATGGGCAACTTGTCTCCTGGGACAGCACTGTTGGACCTTGAGAGGCCTTTAAGATGTGGAGCCTTGCAAGAGACCCTTTGGGAAAGTGGGGTGCACCCTCAAAGGGGACTATGGAAACCCTGTCTCAGTCTCTGGCTGCTTCCTAGCTGTAGATGTCAGTAGCTTATTCCACCACACACTCTCCTCATAATGAGCCAATATTACCAGAGGCCCAAACCACTGGGGCTGCACAAACTTGGGCCTGACCCTCTGCAGCCATAAGTCAGAATAACCTTCTCTTTATTTCATAAGAAGCCTGTCTCGGTGTTTCATTGCAATAATACAAAACAGACTAATACAACAATTCAAGAGCATGTTTTGCGGGAAAGATACTGAATTCTTATTTGAAATGCTAAATGTAAGGTGTCTATAGGAAAACACCTCATATCAGACAGCTTCCCATCCAGAGGGAAGCTGTTTACAATTCCACCTAGTGCCGGTCCTTTCATCTATGTTTTCTTAGGGCCATTAAGCTATTGATTATCTCTTCTTCCATATCAGTTAAAGAACTGAAATTTTCATTTTGTTAAGGCCCTAGTGTTTAGACAGCATTTATCTCAGCATTTGGTATTAATCTTTGACAAAAATATCATTCAAAAGTACTAAATATTTAATGTCTCAAAAATACTTGAAATGTACCAAATGGAGCTCATGATCCTTGGCCCACACTTATTCCTCTGTCAGTTTTCATTGTCTCTGTGAATGGCTTCATCACTCATTCAGTTGAACAGTCTGGAAACCCCTATAAGCACCATTGCTGGTACCTCTTAGAACGTCATGCTAATCACACGTGAACTGCTGTATCAGCTCTGTTTTTCTTTTTTAATTCCTTTTTTCTTTTGTATTGAGCTCAGTTTTTGCTATATATAATTCTAGACCTCCTATATAAGGCTACATAACTCTACTTTCTTATAGCATTACCGTAAACTCAATCTGAATTGTGGGTATGGAGGATGTGTTACTGGGGATTGAACTCAGGGAAGGCTAAGTATATACCCAGCCTGTTTTTGTTTTTGTTTTGAGACAAGCTCTTACTAAGTTACCCAAGCAGCCCTCAAATTTTTGATCCTCCCACTTTAGCTCCTGAGTACCTAGAATTACAGGTGTGGACCACCATACCTGGCAGCCTCAGTTTGAATTTAACTAGACTGTTGCAAAGACTTTCTAACTAGACCATATCTACTTTTGCACTTTTTCTGTACATTCACTGCACTGCATCTAGGGTTGTCTTGTTAAATGTGATTCTGTCATCTTGCTGATAAAAATCATTCAGTGATTTCTAGAGGTCTTTGCTATGGACAGAACTGTGTTTCTTCCCCAAATTTATGTGTTGAAGCCCTAACCTCCAGTGTGATTATGTTTGTAGATGATGTCTTTAGGAGGTAAAGTTAAATGGCATCATAAAGTGGGACCCTAATCTCACAGGATCTTGGTTTTATAAAAGGAGAGAGATCTGTTTCCCTCCCTTACGTATTTCTCCCTGCCACATGAGGACACAGAGAAAGCAGACATCAGCAAGCCAGGAAAAAGGCCCTCACCAGGACCATACCATGCTGGCACCCTGATCACAGACTTTCAGCTTCCAGAACTGCAAGAAAGTAAGTTTCTATTTTTTGAATCTATGGTATTTTGGTATGGTAGTCTAGTATTTTCACTCATACAGGCTTCTTATAGCAAATCATTAAGAATAGAGCAATCATTACCTACTAATCCAGCTTTATCTTATACCATGCCCCACCCTCCCCCTGCCTCCCATCTCTGGTTCCAGCCATATCAACCCAGAGAGCTTTCCATTTCCTTGAACAGAACTTCTTCCCACCATACAGCCTTTTCTCATGTTGTACTATACCTTGTTTAGTTCACCCAGTTTCATTCTTCAAATTTCAACTTTGACCTCTACACTCAGTTTCCCTTTTCTCTGCCCTCAGTGGTCATCAGTTTTCCTATAAAGCACTTTTTACAGCTTTTAGTTTTACCTCTAATTTCTGTGACTGTTTTCATTAATATCAATATTAAATAAAATGGTCACTCTAGCCTTACAACTCCCTGAGGACAGGAATATACTTTTTGTTTTCCATCCACAGAGGGCAGTACAATACCTAACACATCATAGTACTCTCAATAAATATTTATTGAGTCAATAAAAAATAAATTATGTTTGGTGAGCATCCACAGAGAAGTATTGGCAACACTAAAGAATAGCATCTTTCAACAGAAGGGAGTACTTTGGAGAGGCCCTAATTTTAATATGAAAACTAAAAAAGGAAATAACAAATGAAACCAATGAATGCTTCAGAAAGAGTTACAATTCAGAGATAGCATAGTGTGGGCATCCAAAACCTGAATGAAAGGTTGAGCTCCAGACTGTGGACACAGTAATTGTAATTCAATTTTCATAAAAACCAATAATATATTGTGGTATAAAATGTCAGATGTCTCACAGAGATAAAGTAAGATGAGAACCAAGAAAATACCATTGAACTTAAAGTCTGGGTAAATTAATGAAAATAAAAATAAGCAGTTGAAGAAAAATTAGAGGCACAAAGCCAGAAGCAGTAATTATAACTATTCCTTTGAGATAATTAAGGACTGAAGGAAAAGCAGAGCATATAGTAGGTAAAAGGATCCAGAGTCAAGGGAAAGTTTTTCTAAGACAAGTGAGTTGAGTATTTAAATTAAGGAGAAGAACAATGATAAAAGGTATTGAAACACACGCACCAAAGAAAAAAGAAAGAAAAGATAAATGTTAGACTGATACTAGAAAAAATGAAGTAGATAAAATCAAGTGAGAGGAGAAGAGCTCTACTTATAATTTAAGAAGGGTATTTCGTCTTTAGAATGAATTAGAAAAAGAACAAATAGGCAGAGATGCAAAGAAGTTTTTAAACAAAAAGGAAGAATGTAGAAAGAACATTGGTTAAATGGCCTCAATTTCAATAAAAGTAGGAAGCAAGCTTATCTGCTGAAAATTGCTGATAATTCTGAATTTAAATGAGGAATAAAAAAGATTATTTGAAGAATATTTAGTGGGTAGTTGAAATAATTTGAATAAATTCTTTTTATGTAATTTCAAGAAGTATAGAAGTTATGATTTCCCATTTGGAAGTCCTTTGGTCAAACAAACAAAAAAAAAATATCAGGGACTATGGTAGGCTGACTATGAGTGAAAGAAATCCAGTTTCTGTTCTCTACAACTCATGAATGTCACGTTATCTGGCAAAAAAGACCCTGCAGGCTAGATTAAGGATTCTGAAGTAGGGAGATTATCCTGGATTATATTAGTGGGTCCTATATGATAGGTTTTTCCAGCACAGAAAGAAGTAAAACAGAATAAAATGCCTTTATTGTGGACATGGAGAAAGCCACAGGAAAGAGAAAAACGTGGCCTCTAAAGATCTTTCATGGGGTCCAAGCTTAAATAGACCCAGGCTGGAGGCGGGGTTTAGGAGGCGCATCGCCTGACATGGCAGGCCATGATTGGGTGGGAGCATGAGAAAGGGGACAGGATATTACATAACGGGAAGTAGGAAGTTGCAATTTGACCCAGCAGAAGAAGGGTGGGGCTTAGCACATGGCCTTTAGTGGCCAGCGCCATATTGGCTAGATGCCATAGTAACTCAGCACCATACCACATGCCCTCCAGTGCCATATTGGCTGGGTGCCATAGCAACTCAGCGGGAATTACAGCCAGGCAAGAAACCAATCACTAACTAT